ACTACTGATAGACTTCTGGGGAGTCCGGGGAGGGAGGAGTGAGAGGAGGGAGTGCAAGTACAATTATTCCCAGTTTTTTGCTTTGTTGTGTTTCACCAAAACATCAACAGTTTTGTGCAGTTTAAACCGGTCCTTTCAGGACCCATGGTGTTTGTTGAGCAGAAAGGGGCCTCGGAGTTAAAGCTGCAGCTGCGGGGCGCACGGGTCACAGGGGCGCTGTCCCAGTGGGTGGGATGGGGCAGGATGGGGAGGGATGGGGCGGGATGGGGGGAGGCCCTGCAGCTGCACCTGTGCTGGGGTGGGGGGGTGCCCTGGACCCGTCCGTTGGGTGACGCTGCCCTCTAGGGGAGTCCCGGGGACCACGCGGGGCCTCAGAATCGCGGTGTTTTGTCTATGGAGTGCGGGTGACACTCGGAGTGAGGGAAGAATGGGGGGACTCAGCGGCGGGTGGGGGGGGGACCAGCATCATCAATTTCTATACTGATTAAATGTGAGGGTTACGGTAACAAGCACAGGTGTCCGAAACTGGTTCTTGGTCAGGACAGAAGGAGCAGGGCAGCAGGAGTTAGCATGGGCAGCGTCAGCCCCATGCAGGGCTTAGTGCAGTTCTCAGGGGGCCTGCAGCGCTGCTTGCCCTGAAAGTTGGCTCAGCGGAGGTCAGCGGACCAGCTTCCCCTCCTGCTCGGTGCACAAAGTGCTAAATGGGGTCCCTGGCATACACAGTGCCCAGTAATTGGTAGCTATTAGTAGTATTATCAAAGGTCAGGGTCGGGAGGAATTTTAGAAATAGAACAGTTCTGGGACACCTGGGTGATTCAGTGCATTAAGCATCCACCCTTGATTTCAGCTCAGGTCATGATTTCAGGATCCTGGGATCCAACCCTGCATCAGGCTCAGCGCTAGGCATGCAGCCTGCTTTAGATTCTTTCTCTCCCCGTCCCTTGCCCTTTCCCCCTAAAAAAAAAAAAAAAAAAAAAAAAAAAAGAAAGAAAGAAAAGAAAAGAAAAGAAAAAGAAAAAAAGAGAAAGAAATCTAACAGTTTATACCCCTTATTTTACAGAAACAATGAAAGTGTTTTATAATTTTGGCCTTCATTATGTACCTTTCAGCTTCACTAAAAGGATTGTTAACCATGGACCTAATATTTTGAGTCAGAAGAATTTAAATTTCCAGAGGCATCTGGGTGCCAGCCTAAAGCACAAAGCAGTTTTCTACGTCACCCTAAACCCACGTCTGTTCGGGAAGACCGAGTAGAATCACAACATGGTGATGAAGACAGGCTTCAGTCTCAGAAATGGTGAAAAGCAGGGGCCAGGGCATTAGCACACCCATTAGCACACCCAGGCAGGACTTCCCAGGGGAAGAAGAACACGTCAAAGAATGCACCCAGGCGGGACTGAAGCCATAAGCAGAGCCATACCTTTGGCTCCAAAGTGGCCGGGTGGTCCCCCAGACTCAGGCACACCCACCGAGGCACCTTTGATGACCGGAGCAACCCGCCAGAAAAACCCTAATCCCCTACAGCAAAGTGTGGAGGTGTGTGGGCTTGCAGCTGAGGTTAGAACACCTAAAAATCTTTGGGTCCCTATACTGTGGTTATTTGTAATTTGTTTAAAATGTTCCTGAGATCCCGTACGGCAACAGGGGGAAATCATCCTTTTGTTTGGTTAGATTGGGTCTGCAGGACTTCAGTGTGGGCAAGGAGATGGGAGGACCTGCAGGGGGAAGGGGTGCAGGTGGGTGGTGGGAGCCACAAGCTCATGGGCCACAAAGCTCCAGGTGAGGGGCTTTGGGACCCCAAAGCAATTTTATGCTTGTCTTCTTTTTTGAGGAAACTTTAAAAAATTTTTTAAGGTTTTATTTATTTATTTGATAGAGAGAGAGAGAGAGAGAGAGAGAGAGAGAGAGAGAACAAGCAGGGGGAGCAGCAGATGGAGAGGGAGAAGCAGACACCCCACTGAGCAGGGAGCCAGATGTGGGGCTGGATCCCAGGACCCTGGGACCATGACCTGAGCCGAAGGCAGATGCTGAACCACCCTGGGGCCCCTTAATGGAACTTTTTATTTAAGACTAGTATCCAAGAAGAGTATACAGATCATAGCCTGTTCAGCTCAGTTGTGATTTTTTATTGTGAAGGAAATTCAGGGGCACCTGGGTGGCTCAGTGGTTGAGCGTCTGCCTTTGGTTCAGGTCATGACCCCGGGGTCCCGGGATCGAGTCCCACATCAGACTTCCCACAGGGAGTCCACTTCTCCCTCTGCCTGTGTCTCTGCCTCTCTCTGTGTCTCTAATGCAGAGAAGCCTCTGGTGTGATTTTCATGTCGCAGAACAGAGATTCCAGGTGTTTTGTAATGAGGCATTGTGCCTCCCTAGTGAGCAGCCCTCAGCTTGAGGAATTTAGCTTCTTCGAAGTGCCTCCTACCTGCAGCCAGGTGCTTGTCAACTCTGATCCAGAGCATTCAACCCAACAAGAGGCAGGTCCTACTGAAGGTCCTACTGAAGGTCCTACTGAAGGTTGTGTGCAGAAAACCCCAAAAGAAGCAATCAAGTGTGTTTTGCTTCAGTGTGAATTTGAAAATCCCTTCATTCTGGAGAAGACTGGTGTAGTAATGTTGTGGCTTCTTTCCCCTAATGCAGTGGTTCTCTAAGTGTCTCCCCAGACCAGCAGCACCCCAGTATTACCTGGGAGCTTGTTAGAAATGTCGATTTGGGGCCCCGCTTCAGACGTTTGGAATCTGAAACTCTGCGGACCAGGGCTGGGAATCTGTGTTTTAACAAGTCTCCCAGGTGATTCCAGTGTAGGCTCAGGGTGAGAACCGTTGACTTAATGTAATGTAAAACTTATGGGAATGCCTTTATTCAAACAAAGAAAATATTGCTAATTGGTGGGGTGATTTTTTTCCTGGGCTTTTATTTGAGGTAGTGAGGGGAGGTGTGCTGGCCAGAGATGAAGAAGAAATAGAGACTAGGGGCTGGAGACGAGGAGGTGTTTTCATGGATCCATCCAGTGTCTTCTGACCAAGAGAGCATTACAGAAACCAGGAGGGGTGGAGGCGTGAAGACAGTGGAGAAACCAGCTCCCAACACACCTCCAGGTCAGGGCCAAATGTTCTAAAGCTCAGCCGTGTAACAGGACGGGGTTTGGTCAGCCACTTGTGTTTAAATATGTTTGCAACTCAAGTAGGGTGGCCAACATGCCCAGGCCTGCCTGGAGCCTTCCTGGTCTTAGCACTCAAAATCCCAAGTCCCAGAAAGCCCCTGTGTGTTCTTCCCAAAGCGCCAATCAATTCTCCAGTTCTCGGCAGATACTGGGTGGGCGTCCTACAATTCCACAGGTGAAGGGCTCAGTCCTACAAGGCAATCCCCTCTCCCTTTACTTCAGATGCCAGTTGCAAGTCTGGGTTGTCATCTGTGCCTATAACCAACCAGCTATGGATTGGATGTTCCCACATTCTCCTCCTTGGATTTGATGAATTTGCCAGAACAACTCATAGAAATCAGAGAAACGTTTACTGAGTCACTAGTTTGTTATAAAAGGATATAACTCAGGAAAAGCCATTTGGGGGAAGCATAGGGTGAGGTATGGGGACAGGGCATAGAGCTTCTATGCTCTGAGTGTGCTATGCCCCCCCCAGATCTCCCCATGTTCAACAACCCAGAAGCCCTCTGAGTCCCATCCTTTTGGGGTTTTGTTAAGGCTTCATTTTACCTAGGCACACTGGATTCAATCATTGACCATTGGCTGTTGAGCTCAATCTCCAGCCCCTCTGGCCTAATAAGACTACAGGATGGGACTGGAATTTCTGGCTCTCCAACCATGGGGTTTATTCCCCTGGCAACCAGCTTCATCCTTTGGTGAGAAAGGGCTTTCTGCAAGTCACCTCATTAACATGACAAAAGATGCCTTGGTCATTATCATCACTTGGGAAATTCTAAGGGGTTTAGGAGCTCTGTGCCAGGAACAGGGATAGAGGCCAATGGTATATTTAATATAAATCACTGCATTGTGGGGCAAAACAAGGCAATTGGTCAGTACTCACCCTAGTCCAGTGACCGCTCGTTGGAATTACTGGGTGAGCTTTACAATTACGGATGCCTGGGCTCCCCTCCAGAGATGGTGATGGACGTGGTCTCAGGCTCAGCCTGGGCACCAGGAGGTAGAAAGTTCCTCCGGTGACTTTATTGTGGCTAGCCACGGAGAACCCCTGCAGTCTGCTGCCTGAATAGCATTTCTCCTGGTAAAAAAAATAAAAAAGAAAAATAAATTTAACCAAAACAAAAGTTAGTGGTTCTGATGAAGTTAGACTCCTAGCATGTACCACATACAAAAATGGACTCAAATTGGATCAACAGTCTAAATATTACCGATTGCATTGTGGTCATCTGTAGCTGTATAGTTGTAATATATATGTATAACTTATTTATATTAAATAATTAGTTACAACTATTAAAGGACATTATGTTGTTCATTACAAAGTGATAGTACATATCCTATATGATGGTCTTGGAGCATATGATGTAGCAGTGTGTCTGTGGGATGCAAGAATTGCTGAGAGATATGCACATTTCAAAATTGTAAGAAATAATATCGAGGCCCCCTCTAAAATGCAGTATCAATTTCCATTATTGGGAAACTTTAAAAAAACATGAAGTTTCAGGCTACTTTTTTACTTTAACTCTTGAGAATCTGTGTGGGTGGGGCCCAGAAACTTTATATTCTTTCTTTGGTGATTCTGGTACAAGAAGGCTCTAGGATGGGATGGGAACCACGCGATACACCGTCTGGGTGCCCCTGCTGCATTGCCTCCTGCTCTTTATCTTTGGACGAGACTGTCCCATCTCCTCACCAAGGCGACAGGTTCCAAAAGGTCAGGCCTCGGGGAGGTTGTTTCTTCATGTTGTTACCCTGGCACAGTGCCTTGTAGGACACTGCTTGTGGATGATAAGGCTTGGAAGAGTATTTGCAGCTCATATGACGATTTGTTTTTTCTTTTAGTTCCATGGACCAAATGGAGAAAGGAACCCTGGGCCAGCCGCTGCCGATGGCCACGACCCAGCCTGAGAGGAAACCGACATCAGTGATGTCTTTCCTTTCCAAGGTCTGTCACAAAGTATTGGAAGCAGAGGTCCCTCCCCACCAGCCACTTGTAATGTGCGCTTGCCTGACCTGCATTGGTTCCGTGGCTCCACTGAGGAAAAAAGCTTGATGACATTTCTCCTAACACGGGCAGAAAGTTTACAGGATAACAAGATGAGCCAGGAAGACTTTAGCTTGCTGCAAGCTTAATAATAAAAGTATAGAATGAACTGCAATGAATACTGAGAAATAATGAGGAGACTTGGTAATCACTCAAACACCGAACAGGACTGTGGTCCCGTCTGCAGCCCCACACTACGCAGGAGGGTGGGGAGGTGGCTTTTTCTTGACCCTGCCTGGATCTTGCATGTCTTGGTTCTGACGCCAGCATGTTATTTATGCATTTTCCCCCCCTAATCTTAATGGCGCAGATGTATGCATTCTGGGGTGGGACATCCGTTAGGTTCCCTGAAATGCTTGTGGACGTGCTTTGCTAGTTGGGTCAAATGTTGTTGAGAGGTTGAGGAAGAGGAGAACTGACAATTAACCCTGGATTTAGCCCCACTAGGGAGGCATCGACCTCCCTGCAGAAGGGTCAAGAGATCATGGAGAGAAGAACTGGAGAAAACAAGTATAGACACGTCTTTCAAGGTGTTTAACCACAAAGTAGAGCAGAAAATATGGGAGGAGCTGGAGGAGTAAGAAAGGTTGGGGAAATGCCTTGAGATGGAAGCAGGGTAACATTTCTTGTCCATGAAGGATCCCTGTTCTCAGCCATATCAGCTGTCTAAAGCCCCCTTTCTTCTGAGCTTAGCACACCCTTGGTGGTCCTAGAGCACCTGTCCCCCTGCTTCCCCCAGCCTACTTCAACCAACCTTCCCCCGGCCCTGCATTATTTTTCTCTACCTCTTTCCTTTTCCATCTATTTTCTTCATTATGTAGATCAAGCTAATGTGTTTCCAGCAAAAAACAGGTGTCTTTAGGTGGAGAAAGAAAGGCTAAGTTGAGGAGGCAACACAGGATTTTCTTTAGAGAGAGGGATTGGGCTTGGGATGGGTATGACTCTGAACGCTCCCAGATCAATACTCTCTTGGCTTACTGCCCAGGTCTCTTGGAAACTGAAGTTCCAGAGGCGGGAGTCTCTGAAGAATGCATTTTCCATCTTGGCAGAAAGAGCCCAGGACCCCAACGATAAAAAGCGTCACATGGCAATGAGAGGCCTGGGCACCATGGCCTGTGAGACCCCTGACAAGGTAGGAGGGGAAGGTGGCATGCCCCACCCTCATGGCCTGGCATCCCAGGGCTGAAAGATGGCGCCTCATGAACTGGTTATCTGTTGCTTGTGACAGATCACCACAGGCCCAGCACTCATCCTCTAGCAGTTTCCTTGGGCCGGGAGCTTATATGGCTTGGCTGAGTCCTCTGCTCAGGGTCTCCCAAGGCTACAATCAAGGTGTGGGTCAGACTGCATTCCTTTCTGAAGGCTGGCCTCCTCTTCCAAGCTTCTGTGGCCATTGATGGAAGGCAGCTCCTTCTGGTTGTAGGACTGAGGTCCCTGCTTTCTTGCTGGCTGGCCCTCAGCGTCTTGAAGCTGTCCTCTCATAGCATGCGAGCTTACTTCTTCAGGGCCAGCAGGAGAGCCTCCATCACTCATGCCTGCTACGATGGACTCTTACGTAATGTAATGTAACCACGGGAATGGTGTCCCGTCACTGTTGTCATAATCTGTAGGCTAGAAGCAAGTCACTGGTCCCTTCCACATTCAAGGGAAGGACATTGTACAAGGTATGGCTCATTTGGGGTTATTTGAGGGTCATCACACCTCAGTATTATCAGCCTTGGGAAGCAGAGCTGCAGATGCGATTAATGCACACCTGGACATCACCCTCTGCAGTGCTTTTAATTTATTTTTAAATAGTCTATCCCTGTTTAGTAAAAGATGTTTCCCCCACCTCTGCTTTTATCATCTGTCCACTTCAGTGACCATTTTGTCTCATCCTCTATAAAAGTACCACTGTGCCCCAGATGCCTAGGTCACCTGGCCCACCACACTCCTTGATGTGCCCTTCCGGCCTCATATGCTCATAGGCCAAGCTGCAGATTGCTTTTTCTGTTCTTTTTTTCAAGACAGAGCTGGCTCTTGGGTCAGGTTAATGGAAACATTTGTATTTCAATGAGAGGTGTTACAGCAATTCCTGAGGAAAGCCATACTCTCGGGCCAAGTCCTAGGTTATTGAAAGATTAGAGGTCGGATCGCTTTTCAGCTCCATGGGAGCAATTTCTGGGCTACTCATGCTTTTCAAACCTTGTTCACAGGTGCGAAAGTATAAGAAAGTTGTCCTAGACCTGCTGGTGCACGGACTCTACGACCCTGTGAGTACTGAAGTCATCCACGAGAGCATGAAGACTCTGACCATCATCTTGGGCAAGATCCAGGGGAAAAGTTTGGGCTCTTTCTTTGTAGACATCACTCTTCAGACCAGGACTTTATTAGATGACGTAAGTGAGAAAATTCAGAAGAATTTTGGGTTATTAAAGTGGAAGTGGGATTAGCAATGGGAGCACGGGGTGGTGTGTTGCTCAGAGAACCTGGTCTCTATTATTAACTTATTTACTAAGAGATCGTCAAGAGACCAGTTTTATACTGGGGGTTTGGAAGACATATAAAGAAGGAGGAGTTTTTGTTGTTATAGAGAAGTGAATATACGTACCCCGACGATGAAGATGGTGATGGAGATGATGGTGAAGGTGTGATAACAGTGCCAATGTGTATTCAGTGCTCTGTTACAAATGTGATGATAACAGTAGTTAGCATTTAGTGAACCCTACTGTGTGCCAGGCCCAGTGCTAGGCAGCTTTCCTAGATTATCCCTTAGACTCTTCTCAATAACCCTATGAGGTGGGCACTATTTATCTTCACTTTATAAATGAGGAAACCAAGGCACAGAGAGGTTAGGTGACTTGTCCGAGATTCACAGAGCCAGTAAGTGGATACGAACCCAGGTCCTCTGACCACAGGACCTGCACTCTTCACTGCCAGGTGCCAAGGCAAGCTAAGCAGAGGTGCACTGATACGTCGTTTACTCTGAAACTGTGGGGACTCTGGGATCCCATCCTTTCAAGTTAATCGGCTTGCCTGCTGCAGTTACACACACACACACACACACTCACACACGCTCACACACGCACACATACCCTCTAATGGAGAGATGATACCTCTAGAACAGGAAACCGGCCTCTTACTTACTCACAAAGCACCTTGTGTGAGTTCCTCATACCTAATTCCCCAGGTGGAGCTGCACCACATTAAGAGGAAGAGAAATCTTGAAATTATGGAACTTGGCATTTCTATAGGAGCTTCTGGCCCATTTGCCTCTCCTCCCACTTGGAGAGACAGGGAGAACTTGGCTCTGGAACGCAAGCCTGTCATGTCTGTGGTCGTGGGGAGAAAAGTCTCTATTCTACCTCCCTGGAATGGAAACAGATATCTCCAAGATGTCTAAATCTCTCTGCAGGTGCCGTCTTAGTTTCCAGGACTGGTGTGCCATGCAGTCACTTTTCAAATAGCCAGATTGACTATAGTTTTTTATTAGGAAGCCCTGGTTGTATAGTAACCTGGAAATACTCGTGGAGAGTTATTTCCTGACAGTTTATCTCTATTACAGCACTCGTGACCACCTGTCTTGTGCTGTTGCTCACTTCTGCGTGCGTTCCCTGTCAGATGATTGTCAGGTCCCTAGCAGGCCAGGGTCTTGTATGTCTTACTGCATTAGGGTAGGATTGAATTGAATTATACAAGGGCACCTGGGTGGCTCAGTGGTTGAGAGTCTGCCATCAGCCCAGGGCGTGATCCCAGTTCGAGGATCAAGTCCCATGTCGGGCTCCCTGCATGGAGCCTGCTCCTCCCTCTGCCTGTGTCTCTGCCTCTCTCTCTGTGTCTCTTGTGAATAAATAAATAAATAAATAAAATCTATAAAAAAAGAACTATACACGTGAGCGCATGTGCGTGCACATACCCACACATATAGGTGGAACAGAGGACAGTGAAACACTAAAGCAATTTGTCAAAGTGTCCAATGTGCTAAAAAAATATTTTTATTATTTTTATTTTTTACAGACTTTAGTCATCTATTCACAAGAGACACACACACAGAGAGAGAGAGAGGCAGAGACACAGAGGAGAGGCAGCCCAGGTGGCTCAGCGGTTTAGCACCGCTTTCAACCCAGAGTGTGACCCCAGGGTCCTGGGATTGAGTCCCACACTGGGTCCCCACAGGGAGCCTGCTTCTCCCTCTGCCTCTGCTTCTCCCCCCACTAGTGTGCATGCTCTCTCTCTCTCTCAAATAAGTACATAAAATATTTAATTTTTATTTTTAAAATTTTATTTATTTATTCATGAGAGACAGAGACACAGAGAGGCAGAGACACAGGCAAAGGGAGAAGCAGGCTCCCTGCAGGGAGCCTGATGTGGGACTCGATCCTGGGACTCCAGGATCACATCCTGGGCTGAAGGTGGTGCTAAACTGCTGTGCCACCCAAGCGGTCCCATAAAATCTTTTTAAAAAATAAATACTTCACAAAATGATGAGTGTCTGCCCCCCACCCCCTGCCCATTCTAGTTGCTTCTCACTCCTGAAGATGCCGAGTCCAGCTTGGTTCTCTCTGGTTTGCCTGGAGCTTTCATGGGACCAGGAAACATTGATATAAAATCCCTTCACCAATGGTCAGGAGACTGGGTACTACCCTGGCTTCTTGTCACCTGACAGTGCGGCTCCAGGCAAGTCACTGAAATGCCCTGAGCCTTGGTCTCCTCATCAGGAAAGGGAGATACTTGGACCAGACTGCTCACAGTGGAGAACAAGAAAGGACTGAACCCGGTGACACACGATCGGGGACAAATTAGCCAATAGTACTAAAAGCAGGGAGAGTTGGCAGGGTGTCAGGGAAGAAATACAGTTGTTATTTCTGCTGCAGAAGGGAGAAACGGAGACCACAGGTGTAGAGAGATGTCCTTCCAGAAACACTGAGAATGATCAACAGGAGATGGGTTGAATGAATTACAATGCGGCCATCCCAAATTCCTTTAGGTATCGACATGCAAAGAGCTCCCAGATAGGTGGTTGGGTGAACAATACACACAAGCATGGTGTGCTGCCACTGTGTAAAAATGTGAGAAAGGACTGTGTGATATACATTTTATTCTTTTTCTCCTTAATTTTTTTGGAGGGATGCACACACAGTTTACAACCTTGTTCATTCATGGGAGGGAAATCAGTGGCAGGCAGAAAGGGGTAGAAAGGAGACTTACTTTTGTTAATAAAATGATTTGATTATTTTGAATTTTGACCCATACAAACCCAAAGGTTTGTATCTCTACCTCCAAAATTCTCCAAAAGCAGAGCTGGGAAGCTGGATTATTAGCACAGCGATCCCCAGTCTGATGGTCTTGTCTGCTGGGGAAGACGCTCATTGAAGACCCAGCCTGCCTCCTCTCTGGCCCCCACCTCGGCTGGCTCAGAGCTTTAGACTGGGTCTGACCCACCCCCCACCAAGGGACAAAGAGCGATGGATGGCGGAAATGCATCTGGTGCCGTAATGACCTGGTTTCTGTCCTTTTGTTCCCCGGGGAACCGCAGGAGAATGACCACCTGAGATACTCAGCCTTCATCTTGTTCGGGCAACTGGCGGCCTTTGCTGGGCGGAAATGGAAGAAATTCTTCACCAGTCAGGTTAAGCAGACTCAAGATTCCCTCCTGATACATCTACAGGACAGAGATCCCCAGGTTGCCACGGTGAGTCTGTGACTGTCTCACTGAGTGCATGAGAGCTCGGTGCCATTCCTCAAGCGAGCTGTGGTGCTGCCCTGTTGTGCTGCAATGCTTGACCCTCTCCATTCCCGCCAGCTCTGCTGTGGACACTCAGCAGTGTGGTCACATGAATCCTTGGAGATGCCTGCCCAGTGTGTCATCTCTGAGCAATCGTGCACATTTCCATTTGCTCCTGCCCCACCTGCCCCATCCAGCACCTGCCGCTGGAGAGTGGGGGCCGAGAGGCACTCGGTTAAGCTGTGGGGCAGTAGCCCACCTAATGAGAACATTAATTCATGCCCATTAGCTTCTTTCACTGTAGATTTCCCACTCACAGCCTCTCAATCCCCTAGAGAGGTTTTGTCTTATTCTTAGAGGAAATATGTCCTAACAGGGTTGGATCAACATCAGGCCTGCTTGGGAGTGGGTGAGTATTTTTCACAACCACTGGGAGCAAAAGGTTTTACCAAACCACTTGTCTTCTTTAGGTTATTACACACAAGAGAGAGACAGAGACAGGGGGAGAGAGAGAATTTAGGAATTAAAGAATCCAGAACTTCTTTGATGGGACAATAACCGGGTAAACTCTAAAGTGATTCTCTCCCCTTCAGCCCCAAGTTAGAGATGTGGTCATTTTAGGGGTAACAACCTTTAAGGTTGAGGTCTTCAAACTTCCTGGAAATTACTTTCATACCCTCAGTGGCCCCCAGACCACAGATTGGGTGCCTTGCCCTTCCGTGCTTGGATTATAGAACTCTCTAATGCCTTTGACAATCGAATGGTCATACTGTTTTTCTCAGGCTTGCAAAACAACATTTCGAGCCTGTTCTCCATATCTGAAAGAAAGAAAGGAAAACAGCTTCCAGAGTGAGGAAGAGCAACGGAACCTTAAACTCTGCCGGCAGCTGGTGAGTGAGAGGGCAGGAGAGAATGCTCCCAGAGATCCCTGCCCTCCTGGTGTCATAAAATGACTCAGGCCAATTATGTGTCCATCGTAACTGATCCATCTTGCAATGTAGATGACAAAACGCCCGGAGGATTATGCACAAAATCTATTGGCACATGCAGTGTAGATCCTTAGAGGAACGCAGACCCTGATCTCCACCTCTGAGAATCTGAAGATCCAGCGTCCTCACGCTCTGCGTTGACAACTATCTACTCATTGTAGAGTCAAGGAGGTTTATTGAATCTGCCCCTCACGTGCGCTTTTGCTGATTTCTTTCAGAGCCACTATCATCCAGAGCTCCTGCAGTTCCTCTATGCAAATAAGATTCTGTAAACACAGAGCAGCAGGGAAATTGTTCCAGTGAGAGCACCTTGCTGGGGGGCTGGTATTTCCCCCTCTTTTAACTCTTCGGATGCTTCTGCTTGCTTCTCGTGATTGTAATAGAAAACGGGATGCTCGGAGAACAATTGATGGCAATTGCATGGAATTGTATGATTCTATCCTAAGTAAATTCTAAATTGCTTTCATGTATCTCATTTCCTCCCCAGACGAATTTGATGCAAAGGTACATGCTTTGTTTAAAACATTTAAAGGATATGTAGATTCAGGGCTTATTTCTCAACCTTTCCTTCATAAGTTCATCTTTGTCACCTATCTTCTATTTTTGATTTTATTTTTAACTTCTGAGGCTCAGGAGAATATTACCTTAAGTGATTTTTTAATCTGCTATTGATCCTTTGCAATTTGTTATTGATACGTTTTATTGGCAAGATCTATTTAAAGTTGGCCAAGGGACCAAGAAGGTGGTTTGGAGGATGTTTTTAGCTTCTTGGAACCCTCAACAGTCATTGTTTCCAAGATCATAACGCAAATTTAAAAAGAGAAAAACAAATCTGTAAAGCATGTGTTGAAAAACCTCAGGCTAATAGTAGCGTGTGGAATAAGAAGTAACGTTTATGGAGAATGTTTATTGGACACTGAGTATTACCTAATACTTACTGCAACCCTGTGAGAAGTGCTTTGCAAGTATTATTTAACACTTACAATAACCCTCCAAGAAAGGCACTGTTATTACTCTCATATTCCGGGTGAGAAAACTCAGCCACAGGGAACTAAGTAGCTTACCCAGATGCCCTGGTGAATGTCGGAGCCAGAAGTCAAGACCAGACAACCTGCCTTCTGGAGCCTGTATTCAATCACCACGTGATTCTGCCTCAATGTGGAATAATTGACAGATGGCTAGCAATGTAAAAAAAAAAAAAAAAACAACAACCAAAAAACCCCAAAACTAAACAAATTTAAAAGCCCCCTCAGCTCCTGCTCTATTTAACCCAGTGAAGTTTTGCTTTTATATGCAGTAAAAAACTACATTTTTATTAATGTAGTTTATGATCTAAGTATATATTTTTACTTGTCACTTCTTGACTAATTATGACAATTTTTTTTTGGAGCTCAATTCCAGTTCTATGAGGAGTCATGTGGCTCTTGTAAAAAGTTTCAAGAAAAACCTCTTCGACCCTCCCCCGTTCCCTCCAACCAGTGTGCCTCCCCAGCTTCTCCTATGGACATTCTCGTATTATCACCAGACTTGGCGTTCAAGCCCTACTGGATGACTGTGTCCAGGTTGGGAAATGGAGAACACGGAGGGTCATAAATACTGCAGAGAGATCTTAGTGTCCTTCTGAACACCAGGAGCTCAGTCTTCTGGTCTAGCGCCCCAGAGATAGGACTGTGCAACACGGATGGGGACCCAGGTGTCTCCTAGGGGAGAAGAGCATATGGCAGATGGTGGGAGGGGGCCAGGAGCCAGGCGTGAGTGGGGTTTCTTTCTTCCTATTTTTGAAGCTGGGGTACATGACCCAGGGGTTCTTGGGAGTGACACAGGCTCTGGAGCAGGTGGGACGGTTCTGAGCTGAGACCTCTTTCCCTTCCCAGTCGTTGGCCTGTTTGAAACTATGCTGCAAGGTCCGTTCAGAATTCGATGCAGTTCTCTTAGGTGATCAGCGAGTGGCCTGAGAGACAACTGCATTTTGCTAGCATTCAAAAAGGTGGGGGTAGAGTAGGGCAGGCCGGTGTGTGCTCTAGAATAGGGACATCTGTGTACTTAATACCCCTTCGTTGGTTAAATTGTGGAAGATGCCGTTGAATTGACTTTAGGGTTAGTGGTAGACTGTTCCTTGGTGGCCTCCAGTGAATCATGCCTCCTGACACCCATGCCCCCGTATAGACATCTCCACTGGAATCTGGGCTGGCTTAGTGATCCACTTTAACTACTAGAATGTGCTGAAAGTACCACTGTGTCAATTTTAGGCTAAGCTTTAAGAGCCTGGCAGCTTCCTTTTTTGTGCCCCGGGTGAAGCCAGCTGCCATGTAAGACGTCAGATTCCCAGGAGCAAAGAATGTCTGAGATCACCATTTTGGAGGGAAGACCAAGCTCACTGCATGGAATGCCATGTGGAGGACAGCTGAGGAGCCCAATCCGCCACAGAGTCGGAGGTCTGGACCTGTGCACAGGTTGGCCGATCCAGCCAGCCCCCGCTGGGCAAGCCACCCCAGCTGACACCACGTGGAAGAGAGACGGGCTCCCTCCGCACAGCCCACCCCAAATTGCAAAATTGTAAGCAATCTGATCAAATGACTGCGGTTTTAAATCACTGCTTTTTGGGATAGTTTGTCCCTCAGCATTAAGTAACCTAAAGAGATTCCTTATCATTAATTTTGTCGTTTGGCCAGGTTGGTTTTGCTCTCACTAAGTCCTCTTTGAGTTTAAACTCTATTTCTAGAAATGCATGTTATCACGGCATTGTGTGCCGGGAGCCAGGGAAGCCTTGCTTTTGTACCACACAATGCCTTGTTCTTTTTGTATCTCACCTTGTGCATCACTGCGCCCAGCAGGTAGCAGATGATGGAGAGACATTTGCTGAATGACGAAATAGTTGCAAATTGTAGGGAGAACAGAGTCCAAACCAGTTTGTTACCCTGGGCTCTCAGTCATGGGCTCCCACTCTTCCTTTCCAGCTCTTTCTTCTGTTCCTCTTTTTGCTTTAGCCAAGCTTGGCTCTTCTCTTCATTCAACACTTCTTGGTCTCTTATGCTCCTTTGCCTTTGCTCAGACTGTTCCCTCTGCTTCGAATTCCCTCCCCCGCCTGGCCGTGCACACTCACAGGCACACACGCACGTTTCCTGGCTATATCTGACCTGTGCTCTAAGACCGATCGATGCTCGTATCTCTGAGTTCCCAGAACATTCTAACAGTCTTATGCCACTTACCATGTTTTATCTCATTTGAAAGTTTTTACCTACATCTCTCCCACTCTGGTTCGAGTGAAGCTGCTGGAGAAGGATCCTATCTTTTATAGTTTGTATCTGTCACATGACCTCAAAGGTACTCGGGAGGTACTTGGTAAATAAATGTGGATTGGGAGAAAAAAGTCAGGAAGTCATCTGAAGCTACTTCTCCTTGGGAGAAGCCCATTTTGTCAAATGAGGGCCATCGTTTCTCTCCTTTTGACCAATCTGCTGGTGACTTTTATGCTTGTGGACCTAAAGCATCCCTTTCTCCATAAGATGCCGGTTAACTTGCCAATCTTGAGGTAATGCTTCGACATCTCTTACTTTTAAACACTAGACATGCAACAGGTGAGTGAATTTATATGTCGGCAAATTGAACACCAAGAAAAAATAAATTTATATAAAAAAAAGAACTGGTGTAAAACAGGAGATTTAAGTGCCATAAGCATCAAAAGAATGTGGAAAATTGAATCCAGTATGGACAAACTGATTGCTAGAGAAATCTGAATTAAAACGGAATATTAGGGATCCCTGGGTGGCGCAGCGGTTTGGCACCTGCCTTTGACCCAGGGCGCGATCCTGGAGTCCCGGGATCAAATTCCACATCAGGCTCCCGGTGCATGGAGCCTGCTTCTCCCTCTGCCTGTGTGTCTGCCTCTCTCTCTCTCTCTGTGTGACTATCATGAATAAATAAATTAAAAAAAAACAAACGGATTATTAGATGATATGTTAAATTTGCTAGATATAATATCACAGAAACTATGTTTAAAAACAAAAGTCCTTATCACTCATACATATGTAATAAGATAAAAATAAATAAACAAATAATCATAAGTAAAATGACTTTCTTCAAAAGAGAAGAAGGGGAAAAAGTAAAGGCAGGGAAGGAGATGCCTAAAGCAAGATCAAAAGGGGTTTCTGAAACTGGGTGAGGAGGTAATGAATACTCTCTCCTTTTGTGTTTTAGAAGTACTAATATAGAACCCCCCCCAAAAAAATCTTATGCCCAATGTACAGGTGAACAAAACAATTGGAAAGAATTGGGAAACAAAGAAGAAATTGCTAAGGCTAATCAAAAATGCACATTTAGAATATATCTAGAGATCTAGAGCAAATATATATTGATATCCTAAATGAAGGTCACTACTGCCTTTTGTATGCAAAATGAGGAGCTCTGCTGGAAAGTGTGATGTTTCTTCCAGTCTAACATTCTCAATAAATGCTTTAAATAAATGAAAGAAGAAGAAAGAAAGAAAGAAAGAAAGAAAGAAAGAAAGAAAGAAGAAAGAAAGAAGAAAGAAAGAAAGAAAAAGAAAGAAAGAAAGAAAGAAAGAAAGAAAGAAAGAAAGAAAGAAAGAAAGAAAGAAGAAAGAAAGAAAGAAAAAGGTATGTTCAGGTGCTACCTTGCTAAGTGCTCAGGGTGGAGATCTGCATATACCTTAGTCTCTGCTTTCCAGTCGCCCACAGGATGGGCTTTTTTTAAAAAAAATGGTTTTTTAAGGTTTTGTTTATTTATTTGAGAGAGAGAGAGCGAGAGCGAGAGTGCACAAGTGGAGAGGAGGGGCAGAGGGAGAGGGAGAAGCAGCCTCCCTGCACTGAGCAGGGAGCCCAACACGCCGGATCCCAGGACCCTGGGGTCATGACCTGAGCTGAAGACAGACGCCCCGCCCCCCAGGGGCCCAAGGTTGGCCTTTCTTAAAGGAAAGGAGAAAGGAGAGAAGACAAAGAAGGAAGTTGAGACTCTAACAGGTAACCAGTGCTACTCCCTGTCAGCAGCAGCCGGTGGAATTCCAGTTCCTCGAGCAATTAATCGAGGGAGGGCTTCACAGCTTACAAAAAGCACCAGAGTGTTTTACAGAGAAATAGCAGCCGTGTAGGACAGCCAGCAGATAGTGCTAGAAATAAGGCCAATGTATATTTGTGTTTTTCTGCATTTTCCAGGTTTTCTGCAATAAGTATGTATTACTTTTGTAATCATAGAACACACGCAAAAATGCTCTTTAAAATAAAAATGAAATGCTTATTGGCATGTGAAGTGGTAA